GATCTTAGTGGACTCGGGACGTCATACGGACTTGAGTACGGGATTTGAACTCGATACTTTCCGTTTATCAGTCGAACGCTCTACCGTTCGACCATGTCGTCCAATCACTGTCTTTGATAAATGGCATTGTGTTTTTGGTTTTAAAACACAAACCTGCTATTGTTGATACGATCGGTGTGAACTATGTGTCATTAATAACAGAACGACTTGGTTTATTTCAAACAGAGGCGTATCGACCCTTCTCGGCGCCCGTGGACAAACTTTCGATTTGCACCCTTCCCCCTCAAGGTTTCGATTTGCACCCCCTCTCAACCTTTAAATTTATTTTTCCAACCCATTTTGGCACCCCTAAGGTCGGCGCCCGGGGTCATGTGTCCCCCCCCCCGCCGCCCCCACCCCCTCGCTACGCCTCTGATTTCATATACATGCTAGGCTCGTATCTTTTACATCAGCGCTATGGGGTTGATCAAAGAGCAAGTAAGTAAACAAAACAAAAACAGCCTTGTAAATATATTCAACATGTCTGGTTTAAATAGGGCTTGTAAGTAGGTCACCACCTTCTCGTTCTCGTACTTGCCAGCTGGTTTTTTTCAAACTAATTTTTTTTTATTAAATCGATTAAAAAAATGGATTAGAAAAGTTACTTTCTTCATTGTAATTAAAAATTATAAACAATGATAATGATAAACTACAAGATGTAGGCTAGCTTGAATATAGCCTACGTTAAACTGCTTTGTTTTAAAGGGGCTTGCAGTTTGTTATTGTTAATTTGAATCCGTAACACGCTGTCCAAAATGTAGTTACAATATTAATAATATTAGAAATAGCCTAGAAGTTGATTCTATTACTAGTAGAATCTTTAAAGCTGTTGCATTTTAAAATCTTGAAGCGATACCTAGAAACAGAAAGCCGCCATATTTTTAGTTATTCGTTTGTTGCTGTTTCAATTTTTTTTTTGTGTTATTAATGTGAATTATGTTCACAAAATTAATTTAGTTAAAAAATGTATATATTACCCAGATTAACAAGATTTCGAAGTTTAAAGCGAGAGAGATCGAGCCCTATCACAATCGGAGTCTGAATGCTAGACCTGTTATCTGAACGCTAGACCTGTTATCTGAATGCTAGACCTGTTATCTGAAAGCTAGACCTGTTATCTGAATGCTAGACCTGTTATCTGAATGCTAGACCTGTTATCTGAATGCTAGACCTGTTATCTGAATGCTAGACCTGTTATCTGAATGCTAGACCTGTTATCTGAATGCTAGACCTGTTATCTGAATGCTAGACCTGTTATCTGAATGCTAGACCTGTTATCAGAATGCTAGACCTGTTATCTGAATGCTAGACCTGTTATCTGAATGCTAGACCTGTTATCTATGCTAGACCTGTTATCTGAATGCTGGACCTATTATGTGAATGCTAGACCTGTTATCTGAATGCTAGACCTGTTAATGCTAGACCTGTTATCTGAATGCTAGACCTGTTATCTGAATGCTAGACCTGTTATCTATGCTAGACCTGTTATCTGAATGCTGGACCTATTATGTGAATGCTAGACCTGTTATCTGAATGCTAGACCTGTTAATGCTAGACCTGTTATCTGAATGCTAGACCTGTTATCTGAATGCTAGACCTGTTATCTGAGTGCTAGACCTGTTACCTGAATGCTAGACCTGTTATCTGAATGCTAGACCTGTTATCTGAATGCTAGACCTGTTATCTGAATGCTAGACCTGTTATCTGAATGCTAGACCTGTTATCTGAATGCTAGACCTGTTATCTTAATGCTAGACCTGTTATCAGAATGCTAGACCTGTTATCTGAATGCTAGACCTGTTATCTGAATGCTAGACCTGTTATCTGAATGCTAGACCTGTTATCTGAATGCTAGACCTGTTATCTGAATGCTAGACCTGTTATCTGAATGCTAGACCTGTTATCTGAATGCTAGACCTGTTATCAGAATGCTAGACCTGTTATCTGAATGCTAGACCTGTTATCTGAATGCCAAACCTGTTATCTGAATGCTAGACCTGTTATCTGAGTGCTAGACCTGTTACCTGAATGCTAGACCTGTTATCTGAATGCTAGACCTGTTATCTGAATGCTAGACCTGTTATCTGAATGCTAGACCTGTTATCTGAATGCTAGACCTGTTATCTGAATGCTAGACCTGTTATCTTAATGCTAGACCTGTTATCTGAATGCTAGACCTGTTATCTGAATGCTAGACCTGTTATCTGAATGATAGACCTGTTATCTGAGTGTTAGACCTGTTACCTGAATGCTAGACCTGTTATCTGAATGCTAAACCTGTTATCTCAATGCTAGACCTGTTATCTGAATGCTAGACCTGTTATCTGAATGATAGACCTGTTATCTGAATGCTAGACCTGTTATCTGAATGCTAGACCTGTTACCTGAATGCTAGCCCTGTTACCTGAATGCTAGACCTGTTATATGAATGCTAGACCTGTTACCTGAATGCTAGACCTGTTATCTGAATGATAGACCTGTTACCTAAATGCTAGACCTGTTATATATATGCTAGACCTGTTATCTGAATGCTAGACCTGTTATCTGAATGCTAGACCTGTTATCTTAATGCTAGACCTGTTATCTGAATGCTAGACCTGTTATCTGAATGCTAGACCTGTTATCTTAATGATAGACCTGTTATCTGAATGCTAGACCTGTTATCTGAATGCTAGACCTGTTACCTGAATGCTGGACCTGTTACCTGAATGCTAGACCTGTTATCTGAATGCTAGACCTGTTATCTGAATGCTAGACCTGTTATCTTAATGCTAGACCTGTTATCTGAATGCTAGACCTGTTATCTGAATGCTAGACCTGTTATCTTAATGCTAGACCTGTTATCTGAATGCTAGACCTGTTATCTGAATGCTGGACCTGTTATCTTAATGCTAGACCTGTTATCTGAATGCTAGACCTGTTATCTGAATGCTGGACCTGTTTTCTTAATGCTAGACCTGTTATCTTAATGCTAGACCTGTTATCTGAATGCTAGACCTGTTATCTGAATGCTGGACCTGTTATCTTAATGCTAGACCTGTTATCTGACTCCTGTGGTGACTCTCACTACTCCAGCGTCGAAGTCTAAACTGTATTGGACAAAATCTACAAAAGCCGAGCATTGGACTGTGAAGATGGATTTGTTTGGAGCTTCCTCATCCTCGCACTTTCTGTTGGATATTCCAAAATCCGACCTGTTCTAACGGATACCTGTCAACCGTCACGTGGTCACTGTACTGACCACACACACCAGAGGCGTAGTGACCCCTCTCGGCGCCCGGGGACAAACGTTCAATTTGCCCCCCCCCCCCGCCATATATTTTTTTTGTTTATAATTCAAAACTAATGCAGCTAAATTGAGCTTCTAATTTTTTTTCAAGTCATTTTGGCGCCCCTAGTGTCGGTGACCGGGGATATATGCAGGGGCGTAGCGAGGGGGGGGGGCGGGGGGTGCGGACCGCACCGGGTGACACCATTTTGGGGGGTGACACCAAGGCAAAAAATAGCAAAATATATAGAGAAAAACTTGAGGGGGGGTGCAAATTGAAAACTTGAAAGTTTGTCCCCGGGAAGGGTCGCAACGCCTCTGGGGGGGTGACACCATTAAGTGCCGCACCGGGTGACACCCGACCTCGCTACGCCACTGGATATATGTACCCACCCACCCCCTTGGCTACGCCTCTGGCATACGCATTTTCAAAAATCCGAATCTGTATTTTAAAATTGTGTCCTTCATTACCTTTTACATTATGTCTAGCGCTATTAATATTAGCCATTTATTTATTTATTGAGTTTTTTTTTTAAAAAAAAAACCTGCTATTTACATGACAAGACGTTGGAGCTATTGAAATATTCACGCCAATCTCAGATACCATTATGTAGATAGTACATTGTAATTTTAAAACAAGATTCGTAAACCTGATCACAATGTTAACATTTTTAAAGGCATTGATTTCCTTTTCACGTACGTATTTTCTTTGTGAAAATTGCTTGATTAAGATAAAATATCACACAGTTCCCAATATATGTGTGTAAGTAATGTGTATGTGCTTACACATATAATATGGGAAGGAGTAGTCTAATAGTAGAGTATACGACTTCTAACAAGAAAGAAAGTCTCGAGTTCGTATTCGGGTTACCTGAGTCCACCCAGCCCTGATGGGTACCTAGCTGAAGTTAGAGAAAGTAAAGGCGGCTGAGCGTAGTGCTGGTGAAATTATTCCTTCATATGCCGACGTCACCGAAACAGCTCAACACTACTTCGCTTGCCCCGTGGACCGTCAAGTTCGAAACGGAACTTTACTTACTTTTATGCATACAACTTATACGTATAGATATACTTTCACTGTGATATTTTTCTCTCCAGCTAGGCTAATCGTCAGTCACGAACACACGAATCCAACTGCACTAGACTACGCTCTCTCTTTCTCTCTTTCTCTCTCTCTCTCCCTCCCTCTCTCTCTCTCTCTCTTACTCTCTCTCTCTTCCTCTCTCTCTCTCTTTTTCCCTTCCCTCTCTCTCTACAGACAGACGAGAGGTTTGGTAAAGTCACAGAAACTTAGAAAGATTATTCCTGCTGGTAAAGTCACAGAACCACAGAAAGATCATTCCTATTGGTAAAGTCACAGAACCACAGAAAGATCATTCCTATTGGTAAAGTCACAGAACCGCAGAAAGATCATTCCTATTGGTAAAGTCACAGAACCGCAGAAAGATCATTCCTATTGGTAAAGTCATAGAACCACAGAAAGATCATTCCTATTGGTAAAGTCACAGAACCGCAGAAAGATCATTCCTGTTGGTAAAGTCATAGAACCACAGAAAGATCATTCCTATTGGTAAAGTCACAGAAACGCAGAAAGATCATTCCTATTGGTAAAGTCATAGAACCGCAGAAAGATCATTCCTATTGGTAAAGTCACAGAACCACAGAAAGATCATTGCTATTGGTAAATTCACAGAATCGCAGAAAGATCATTCCTGTTGGTAAAGTCATAGAACCACAGAAAGATCATTCCTATTGGTAAAGTCACAGAACCACAGAAAGATCATTCCTATTGGTAAAGTCACAGAACCACAGAAAGATCATTCCTATTGGTAAAGTCACAGAACCACAGAAAGATCATTCCTATTGGTAAAGTCACAGAACCACAGAAAGATCATTCCTATTGTTAAAGTCACAGAACCACAGAAAGATCATTCCTATTGGTAAAGTCACAGAACCACAGAAAGATCATTCCTATTGGTAAAGTCACAGAACCGCAGAAAGATCATTCCTATTGGTAAAGTCACAGAACCGCAGAAAGATCATTCCTATTGGTAAAGTCATAGAACCACAGAAAGATCATTCCTATTGGTAAAGTCACAGAACCGCAGAAAGATCATTCCTATTGGTAAAGTCATAGAACCACAGAAAGATCATTCCTATTGGTAAAGTCACAGAACCGCAGAAAGATCATTCCTATTGGTAAATTCACAGAACCACAGAAAGATCATTCCTATTGGTAAAGTCACAGAACCACAGAAAGATCATTCCTATTGTTAAAGTCACAGAACCACAGAAAGATCATTCCTATTGGTAAAGTCACAGAACCACAGAAAGATCATTCCTATTGGTAAAGTCACAGAACCGCAGAAAGATCATTCCTATTGGTAAAGTCACAGAACCGCAGAAAGATCATTCCTATTGGTAAAGTCATAGAACCACAGAAAGATCATTCCTATTGGTAAAGTCACAGAACCGCAGAAAGATCATTCCTGTTGGTAAAGTCATAGAACCACAGAAAGATCATTCCTATTGGTAAAGTCACAGAAACGCAGAAAGATCATTCCTATTGGTAAAGTCATAGAACCGCAGAAAGATCATTCCTATTGGTAAAGTCACAGAACCACAGAAAGATCATTGCTATTGGTAAATTCACAGAATCGCAGAAAGATTATTCCTATTGGTAAAGTCACAGAAATGACAACTCTAGTAGGAGCAGGAAGGATCACCATTATACTTTCCTTGATACATTAGACCACCAGAGACAACTCTTTCCTTGTTTAGCCAGTCTCCCCAATATGGTAGTCTCTTGATTGTTGTTTTGCTCTTGTGCGCCTCCAAATCGCCCTTGGCCTTCCATTTTTTTATATTTTTTTCCTTACTTGAAGCGTCCAATTTAGCGCCACCCGGACATTCGTATGGTATTATCGTACTTATTCTTGATCAGTTCGTGCATCAATTCTTCTCTTTTCAGCATCATTTAAAGGGGGTGCACTTCAACCTGACTTTAATAATTGAATTTCTTGTCTTTTTTTTTTACTCTTAAAAGAAAAAAAAATTGATACAAAACTGGTACAGGTCATACAATGTATTACTTTCTTTGAAATCGTATAAGTTTTATTACTTAATTAAGAAATCCATGGGTTTTATTTTGACATTTTAGATTGCTTCTAAATATTTATATAGCTATTTTTTATATTGACTATCAGATTTTAATAAAAACGTGTTTTTATAAAACAAAAAAAGAACTAATAATTGTACGCGCACAAAATTGCTTTAACAAATATTTACCCAATTACCCTTTTAAAGTCCTGTAGTTTTTGTCGAACTTATACACATTAATTTTTTTCTTGTTATCGCCCTTAGCCCATAAAAGTAGAAAGTTTAATAATTGTGACCTAAATTGTTTTCATCAAGTTGTGTTTAGTAAACCTTGTAAAACGTAATAAAAATGGTTTTCAGTTTAACTTACAAAAATATTCTTGACGAAAAATTAAGAAAATAAAAATAAAAACACAACACATATTTTCACATATTTTACTGTCGGTATACGAAACAAATGTATGGAAAAGCCTTAAAAGCCACCCACAGAAAAGCCACCACACAAAAAGCGGTGTATATATATACATATATATATATATATATATATATATATATACATACATATATATATATATATATATATATATATATATATATATATATATATATATATATATATATATATATATATATATATATATATATATATATATACTAGCTGCATACCCGTGCTCCGCCACGGTAAATCTTTTTTAAATGTACCATCTTGGGAACAGAGATTTAATGATTTGTTATACTATAGTGCTACACTTGCATGTCCCCTTAAACCAATTAAAGCCAAATGAAAAAACAGCTGACTGCATCATTATCTTTCTATAAGGCGCAATTGTAATCTTTATGTTTTTTCGGAAGGGTTCTAAGAGAGACATAGTTTAATCAATGAGAATTCAATTCATTAAAATAACAGCACCGAACACAATAAAATAGACCTAACGACACAAACAGCAATCTGAAAAAAATTCAACAAATCCACACCTAACTCATTCTCCTAGTCCACAGAGTTTCTTCTAGGCATCTCTTCGGGGGGGGGGGGTCTTCGCCCCCTTTCCCCCGAAAAATATCTACCGCCCATACCCCCCCCCCGAAAGAAATGAAATTTTTATAATTTATATTGAAAATATATACTTCTAACATTGTGTCCCCCCCCCCCCCCAGAAAATTTCAATAGCCCCCCCCCCCCCCCCGGAGAAAAAAGTCTGAAAGAAACATTGCTAGCCCAGGGGTTGGCAACTTTTTGATACGCAAGAGCCAAAAGTTACAACAAAATTTCCCAGAATAGTAAAATTAGTAATCAAATAATATTATTCTAGGACTATCTCGATCCACTTTAGAAGCTGTTAATTTTTATTTTATTTTTTCTTTACGGATATCACCGGCTCAGGAGGTGTCTCCCATTAGCCAGTCAGGCCTCAACACGGCAAACGCCGACTAACTGGCTTGGATATCGGTTTAAATAACTTGCATCGTACGCTTCTATCCTTTGGTTCTCATAAGGCTTATCTTCTATCCCACTGAACGCAAAAGTAAAGCTGGCTGCTCATAGGACTATATGGCGCAAAACAAGTTAACCCGTTGTTTCATACTTAATAGTGTTAGAGGGATTCTCTTCTAATACTAAAACTTAAGAACAAAGAAGAAAGTATACAACATTTCAGGGTGAGTATAATAAACATTAATCATATATACATTCTACTTACATAAGCTATTCTTGTTGTCATTTATAAAAATTAATACAGTCAATTACACCAAGCAATGGACGCCAGCGAGAAAAGTCTCCTAAGAATTTGAGAGGTCCAAAAGTTCATTTAAAAATCATGCACGGCGTAGTTACAATTAATATGGTTATAACATCCTGTCTGTTTTTTTTCGGACTTTACTAAAGATTGTATGTATTTGATGTTTTTAATATTTTCGGTAACTAAATAAAAATTTAAAAAAAGCAAAAACAATTTGGTTTTCACGTGTAATGGCGACATTAACAATGGCATCCTGCTATTCGATAGGCAGCCATAAATTTTATTGCACACATTGTAAGATAAAAATAGAAAAACTAGGTCATGGGTTTTAAAATTGCATTGTTATTTAAAAACTTGATCTGCAAAGTTTTGTAAACAAATAGTTATCGATCACTAAGTTACTGTACAGCCAATCAATATTTGTCTTACGAAAGTGAAACATCCGGTCATAACTTAGGCTTGGTGAAAATAAATAGAAATGAATCCTTAAACTCAAATTATTTTCAAGTCCTCTGGATTTGCAACTTTTATAGCATTTATTCTAAAAATATAAACTTTCTAAATTAATTTTAGGCTTAAGTTTTTTTTTATTTTTTTTTACGGTCTAAATCTAAAAAGCATGTTTTTATTCCATGTCAACAACATTATGGAAGGAATCTCGTCAACTCATTGGTGTCCATTTCGTTTCTTTTAAACTTTAAAAACATTTTACTTTTTTATTTAAATCTTTGACGGTGTTCAAATTAGGTGTTGTTTTTTATGCGCAAAATACAGATAAGTGCGTATTTTTGAGGTGTGAAATTACGTTGTTTCTCAATGTTTTTTTCTAGCTATTATAATACATTACAAACTGACATTTTAAAAAATGTAATTATTATTATCAAATTTATATCAGAAACAACTTGTATTACTTCAAGCTGTTCTCATTAATAATGTTAATTTTTGCTTTTTAAATTTGTATACTTTTCATAGTGATGATGTTATAAAACAAAAAAAGCATGTTGGAGGTATTTACAAAAGTCTTTTAATTTTGTAGAACAATGTAGACCTGTGCTGTTTTAATATTTAATTATGGTATATGTGTTTGAGTGCTGTCATTGTCGAGTCGTCTACGATAAATCAAGTCTAGTACGTGTCCCGTGAAATGTACCTTGTCGTGTTTTGCTTTTTTTCTACTGTTCCATAATATAGTCTGTATATATTTAGCTACCGTCCTTGCTTTTTGCTTTAGGTCCGTCCTGTCTCTTTGTTTTGGGATTTTGTTTAGAGTTATAACTATATCGATATTGGGGGTCTCGTTTTTTGTTATTTTGGTTTCTAGCGTCTTTTTCATGTTTTGTACGGTGGGGCATTCCAAATAGATGTGCGTTTCGGTTTCGGGTGTGTTTTGTCTGCATCGTGGGCAAAAGGGTTTCTGTTGTTTTGCTAGGGGTGTTGAATTGTAGATGAGTCTGTATGTTATTTCCCTGGCTTTGAGTGTGATGGTTTTGAGGTGTAGGTTCCTGAAGGCGTCTGTTGTGTCTTTTAGAGCGTATTTCCTACACCATTTAATTCTGTTGTATAGAGGGTTTGAGAGTTTTTGCACTAACTTTTTGTAGATGTTTTGTGATTTTTCGTGAACAAGTTTTTCGTTGTTTTTTTTTAATTTCTAAGCATTCTGTGTAAAAGGGACTATGTTTTCCTCCTATGTAATGTGGAAATGTATTATTGATTTTTGTAATTTTGTTGAGCTGAATGCCTATATAGTAGTGAGCTAAAGGGTGAAAGTTTGGTCAGCTAATTATTTTACTTATTTGTCAAACTTAGGACATTTGGAATGAAACCGATACGCATCGTATTGATCAAAGAAAAAATATTATACGCGCGTTATCATTTTCATTAGGCGCGCAATGGTTTTTAGTCATGCAACTCTATTGTAAGTAAAAATAAAAATTAAAGCACTTGAAACAAATTCATAAAAATGCACTAAAAATGTTTTAACCCAAAAAATAATACAACTCTCAATATAATGCACTGCACTTCTAACAGTGATATTCAAGTTCATTGCTTTAACAACTAGTAGTTTAGTTTTAAGGTTAGTGGAAATTAAAATTGGTATGTTGATTGAAGATATGAATGTTGCATATTATCAAGTCCTCAATGATGCGTTGGGTGGATTGTTAAATTATTAGTGAATATGATTTTCTCATAAGCTAAGATATATTACCCAAAGTAAACTACTTACATCCGGAACATTTTATAATTTAAATATCTACTATCGTTTTACCACACACGTGCATCTTGTACATTATCAAAGGTTTTATGTATGTATTTGTGTGTATGTATGTGTTTGTATGTGTGGCTCCACAGATTTTCAAATATTAAGACTTTCCTTTGCTAATTGAGCTGACGTTGGGCACAATGTTACATCTTTGATGACAATGCAATAATAATCGAGTTTTTTAATGTAATTTTAATTTTAAAAATATTTATTTCAATAATTCAAGGCAGACAACAAAATTACGAAAAATTACTAGCAATTGCTTGATCAAAAAGATGAGACAATAACATTGC